CATCGTAAAGGCAGTGGATTGGCCACTTACAAAACTAAAAAGCAAAAATAGTAAAATTAACTGTAACTAGTAAGTACTTAGCAGCAGCAGCGGCAGCAGTAAGTACTTAAGGTATATTCAAAATAAAAAGATGTAAAATATGCTATTAAAAACAAAAAACAGTGAGGAGAGGAGCAAAACTGTAGGGCTTTTGGAATGCATTCAACCTTAAGCAACTATATGCTTAAACTGCTGTACATATAGGTCGATTTATATGGACCTCATGATAACCACACACAAAAACCTACAACAAACACACAGAAAACAAGTAACAAAATGATAGTAAGTCCACACCTTTCAATAATCACTTTAAATGTAAATGAATGAACTAAATGCTCTAATCAAAAGACATAGGGTGACTGAACAGATTTTTTTAAAAGATCCATTTATATGCAGTCTATAAGGGACTTACTTTAAATACAAAGACATATGCAGACTAAAAGTGAAAGAATGGAAAAAGTTATTCACATATGTAATTAAAAGAGAATTAGAGTAGCAATACTCATATCAGACAAAATAGACTTTAAAACAAGGACTGTAGCAAAGGACAAAGAATAGCATTACATAATGATAAAGAGGTCAATCTGAAAAATGGATGTGATGTTCATAAATACTAACTCTCCCAATACAGGAGCACCTGAATATATAAAGCAAAGAAATATTAATGGATATAAAGGGAAAAGTTAAGAGTAATGCAATAATAGTGTTTGTGTGTGCTTAGTCACTCAGTAGTGTCTGACTCTTTGTGATCCCATGGACTATACCCCAGCAGGCTTCTTTGCCCCATGGGGATTCTCCAGGCAAGAATACTGGAGTGGTTGCCATGCCCTCCTCCAGGGGATCTTCCCAACCCAGGGATCGCACCCAGGTCTCCCACATTGTAGATGAATTCTTATTCTTTTTTTTTTTTTTTAAATTTTTATTAGTTGGAGGCTAATTACATCATTACAGTAGTTTTTGTTATACATTGATATGAATTAGCCATGGATTTACATGTATTCCCCATCCCACTCCCCCCTCCCACCTCCCTCTCCACCCGATCCCTCTGGGTCTTCCCAGTGCACCAGGCCCGAGCACTTGTCTCATGTACCCAACCTGAGCTGGTTATCCGTTTCACCCTAGATAATATACATGTTTCAATGCTGTTCTCCTGAAACATCCCACCCTCTCCTTCTCCCAGAGTCCACAAGTCTGTTCCATACATCTGAGTCTCTTTTTCTGTTTTGCATATAGGGTTATCGTTACCATCTTTCTAAAGTCCATATATATGTGTTAGTATACTGTAATGGTCTTTATCTTTCTGGCTTACTTCGCTCTGTATAATGGGCTCCAGTTTCATCCATCTCATTAGA